TATGTAAAACTTGGGTCAGCCATTTTGGCCCCACCCTAGCCCCGGGGGTCATGATTTGAACAAAATTGAATCTACACTACCTGAGGATAATTCAAAATGAGTTTCATCTTTCCTGGTCCAGTAGTTCTTGAAAAGAAGATTTTTAAAGATTTTTCCTATACATTCCTATGTAAAACTTGGGTCGGTGATTTTGGCCCCACTCTAGCCCCGGGGGTCATGATTTGAACAAAATTGAATCTACACTACCTGAGGATAATTCCACATGAGTTTCATCTTTCCTGGTCCAGTGGTTCTTGAGAAGAAGATTTTTAAAGATTTTTCCTATACATTCCTATGTAAAACTTGGGTCGGCCATTTTGGCCCCACCCTAGCCCCAGGGGTCATGATTTGAACAAAATTGAATCTACACTACCTGAGGATAATTTTACATGAGTTTCATCTTTCCAGGTCCAGTGGTTCTTGAAAAGAAGATTTTTAAAGATTTTTCCTATATATTCCTATGTAAAACTTGGGTCGGCCATTTTGGCTCCACCCTAGCCCTGGGGGTCATGATTTGAACAAACTTGAATCTACACTACATGTGGATGATTCCACATGAGTTTCATCTTTCCTGGTCCAGTGGTTCTTGAGAAGAAGATTTTTAAAGATTTTCCTATATATTCCTATGTAAAACTTGGGTCGGCCATTTTGGCCCCACCCTAGCCCCGGGGGTCATGTTTTGTACAAACTTGAATCTACACTACCTGAGGATGATTCCACATGAGTTTCATCTTTCCTGGCCCAGTGGTTCTTGAAAAGAAGATTTTTTAATAATGCCATTATTTTTTCTCTAATTCATAATTATCTCCCCTTGGAAAAGGGTGTGGCCCTTCATTTGAACAAACTTGAACCCCCTTTACCCAAGGATACTTTGTAGCAAGTTTGGTTGAAATTTGCCCAGTGGTTCTTGAGAAGAAGATGAAAATGTAAAAAGTTTACTACGACAACGACGACGACAACGACAACAACAGACAAATTTTGATCAGAAAAGCTCACTTGAGCCTTCGACTCAGGTGAGCTAAAAAGCATATTTAACTAGGTAAGTATGAGGACACGTTCTATTATAATTGTGGCATTCCGCTATTATAGTGAGATTTCACAATATTTTCAGAGGTAGATTCCTTAATAAATAACATGCTAGCTGCTAAATGCATGTCATGTCATTGTAAAAAACAAGAATAATTGACTAGCTTACCTACTAAATAGTATGTTAAATTTTATGAAAATTAGTTACACACAAATTTTCCAATAGAAGTTAAATTTTTATCTAGAGATTGCGATAGTATTCCAGCATGACGGAATTTCTCTTCTCCTTTTTTTTTTTATTAAACATGAGTAGATTAAAGCTTGTTATTATTTTTAATGTGCATTGCAAGAAGTTTGTTAAATGAGAATTTCTGTTGGGCTGGAATTTTGCAGTTTTGGTGGAAGGCTTATTATTTCTCACAATCACACCTACAGTAAATGTCAGTTTGACTACTTCTGTAAAAAAGTTTTTAAAAATGTAAAAAAAAAAAAAAAAAAAAAAAAAGACTTTGGTCACCTCCTTTCTGACCTAGAGTCCTAGAGAAGCTGAAACCATAAAATCCCAATTTTTGGTTTATTTTACCCATATATGGTGTATAAAAGGGGTTTGAAATTTGTTAGAGAAGTGAAAGTGAAAAGCCTGAACATTTTGTAAGTTTATGACTTGCAGTCCCAAATGAGTTACAATTACAGAAAACAAGAGTGTTTCCAGGAAGGAACATGAGGAATTCATGTTTTGCCTGCTTTGTGGCTTCATTAAATATGTAAATTAAAGTAAGAGTGGTCAGCTATTTATTAGTTATTCACATCCTAGTTGAATGCATTTTTCTGCATAGAAAGGAAAACATCCATCATTGGATGGTTTAAGACATTGTTTCAAAGAAAATGAACATTGCTGAAATATTGCTGACTTGGCATTAAACAATAAACAATCAATCAATCAAAGAAAATGAAGCTCCTCAATCCTCAAATAAATAAGTTGAAATTATATTTAACAAAATTATTTTACTTTTTAGTAATTCATATTTCAAACAATCCTCCACAGAGATGAAGTCTATTTTACTACAATTGTCAGTCTACGTGATCCATTGTGGAATACTGATCCCAAAGTATTTTCATAGTATTCAGATATCAAGTATAAGTTTGTGTGGTACGTAACTGAACATCATCATGATCATACAACTTTACAATACATTATCATGACTTCATGAAAATGCCTATTATCAAACCCTGCCTCACAATGAATAAAAAATATGCTAAATTAACCTCTCTCTGGTATTTTTTGCAAATTAGGTAAAAAAGGATGGCAATGCTGATGTTTTTCATTACGTTTTATTTAAAAAAAATGCACTTGCTTAAAAGCATAGACTTACCTCCTAAATAGGGCTGGGTATTGGCCAGAGATTTCATATTGTGATATATTGCGATATTTTTAATTGTACTGCAATATGTATTGCAACATTTTCAATGATAATAAAATGGCATTTTCCTATAATATTAACTTAAATTTACACGCAGAATGTACAGAACTTTTATAAGTAACCAAAAGGAGAAAAAAAATCTTGTTGATTATATGAAGTTATGCTTTGAAGTACACACATAAAACAGCTTCTGTCTTACTGTTTGGCTTCATAACAAACCTTTCTTACATTTATTTTTATATTTAAGAAATGAATTTAATTTTTGAAGATACATGAGGTTATGAACTACGACGCTTCACGCCGGCATATTTCATGAAGCGCGGTAGCGCTTCATGATAAATATGCCGGCGTGAAGCATTGTAGACTAGTTCATATACCTCATGAATATTCAAAAATTAAATTCATTTCTTATAATTACATTATTTTTCTGATGACTTGCCATAAATTTATGCCATTCAACTGTCATTTTTAAAGCAAAACAGTGTGCACTATATTTTTTGACGTCAAGTGCGGTATTATGACGTAACAATGGAGATATTCATGCTTATTCGTGGTACATATGTAATGTAGTTCATGAGAAAATGAACTGCATTTTATTTTGTAAAGAATCATAGGGGAAATTTATTTGAAATGTAAATATTTAATGATAAAATTCCTTAGTCTAAGCATTTTGCTGGTATACCGATATTACAAAAACGTATTACAATACCATATTTTTTGTCATTGTATTGCAATATACCGAAATATCTATATTTTTGCCCAGCCCTACTCTTAAATGAAAAAAAAAACATTCTGAAAAGTAGAACTATCACCGTCTAGTTTGTTGGGTATGCCAGGGCATCAATGATAGTTGGGAACACAGGATAATTTGCATAATTATCCCACATTTCCAACTATGGTTGCTGCCCTGGCATATCCAACAAACTAGACAGTGATAACATATTATAATTTATATGTGAAATAAATAAAAAAATGTTGTTTAATATATTAACAGAGACATAAAAGATTATTATATGTCTTTGATTTAAAATACATGAGGTCTGCCATGTCAATTTCAATAGTCCCTACCCACTGACATCAGACACTAAGACAATGACACAAAATTAACATGTATATCAGGCATTTTATGTGTCATCTGACAAAATTTACATTCAGGCTAAATTATCCAGAAGTTGACTCACCTTACTTTCAAAGAGTTATCACACAGAAAACAATAATTTATTTTGTAAAGAAGGTAAAAGTTAAAGGTTAACAAGGTTAATAACCATGGTATTTTACAAAATCCATTTTGCCAAACAATATATGTGCAAAATATCAAATCCATATCTCTTACAGTTCTCGAGATATAAGGTGTGACAGACAGACAGACAGACAGACAGACAGATGTCAGGTAAAGTGATGCTTTGTCACTCTGCTCTCCAGGAGACAAAAAAATCAACTACGGTATTGTTCATCTATATCATGCATATATGTTTTTGAAATGTATTTTTTAAGGGATAACTTTCAGATTTTTCGATTTCATGATAATGATCAATCGATTGGCTTGTGTGATAATTTACAAAAACACCGAAGGCATTTATGCATAAAATTATCATGCAAGCCAATCAATTGATCATCGTCATGAAATCAAAAAATCTGACAGTTATTCCTTATATTTACATGCTACTGATTCCTCCAATCCACATGCTACAAGCCCCGCTTCTTGTCTCTATTTGTCCCACCCTGCATGTGATTTTTTTTAACTGTGCCTATTGATGAACCAGTACATTGATGTAAAAATAAAGTACATTAAATATTTGTAATTTTATCTTGAGCCAAAATGAAAATATACAAACGTGTTACATTTGGATATTCTTTTTATGGCTTTGGTGGAAATATAAATCATTAAAGCTTACTTGTTAACACATTCTGTACTTTGAAAATCATTTTCCGCCAAATATCTCACACTTATAATACATTTACAGTAAATCATTGAAGCTTTTCACATTCTGTACTTTGTTTTCTCTTTCATATTGTTTTCCACATTACCATGATAACAGTTGCTAATACACATGATAATTGAGCCAGATGACTTTTCATTTAAATGATCGATTTAAAACTGACTTTTTCATGAAATTTTTGTTGAATAAAGGTGAAAAATCATTGTAAATTTTTTTATTTAAATTTTTTTTTTTTAAATTGCATCATATGTTTATGGATAAGCCTGGAATTGGTATTTTACTGGGTTTATTTTAAAACAACTTCTCTGTAAAGCATGGATACCATGTACCAGTGTCAAACTCTAAGTCTAAATGTGTGGGTAGGGGTTAGAATCTTCATAGTATTTTATTCTTAGTTGGTCAAAGACAGCTGCAGACTGATATTTGATTTTGAAACATTGTCTTGTGGGATGACCAATTATACACATAAATAATATTTTGATTTGAAAGCACCCTCAATTTCACCCAAACAGTCCTGCAAAAAAGGAACATATCAAATTTATACACATGTGAAATATCTGTGTCGGTCTCCTACCTTGTTGATGTCCCCTTCCTCACATCACACATTTCACACTTGTACGCCTCTGCGGGGTTCTGAAAGGTGCACACGCTGCAATCCCATGATCCTTCATCTATGGGCTTTTGACGTTTTGCCCTGTGAAAAAGAGATTCAAAGTTAAGCATGCTGTATAGTATACACTTATCCACTGGTTGTGAGTGGGATAGCTCTTTTATCAACCCCGCGACAGAGAACTATTCACCGAGGGCTTGCCCGAGGGGAATAGTTCCTGTCAAGGGTTTGATAAAAGAGCTATCCCACTCACAACCAGTGGATAAGCGTTTTATTATACTGATGTATAATATAATTTCTGAGGTTTGAATTTTTTTGGAGTAAGATAATAATTTTTTTTATTCTGCAAGAATAATCTGAAACCTGATGACGTCACAATGCTACTGAAGTCATTATGACATCATCAGTTCAAAGATTTATCGCTGGAAATCAAAATTGGCGGCAACAATTGCATGAAAATTTTCCGAGGGTGGATAGCAAAAACTATACCCCGGGGTATAGCTTTGCTATGCGTGGAGCATAAAGGATAGCTATTTTACCTTCTGAACTTTATATAGGAAACATTTTAACAGAAGTATAATAATCTAAGTTACAATTTTGTATCAATTTGAAAATAAGTAGTTTTTTTTCAGAATCATGGTAAATATATTTAATGCATGATAAAATTAGCCTGACCTCCTGTGTAAAAGTTGGTATGAATTAACTCCTGAATGAACTCTAAATAGTTACTGCATGATCAATTCTGGGAATCAACATTAATTCAACAACAATTTTCCAGTATATTTTCAAAATGTAATTACTGCTACATGCTCATTACCACAATATAATTGAAGTTCTTATTTCCTATGTAGCTTGTAACACAAGATTTGATTGGTAACAAAGTTGGATGTAAATTTCTGTGCACCCGACTTGAGCCAGGTTTAAATAACGTGACGTCACAATGCATAGTTTCTCTATGAAAAAAGCAAATAACATGACGTCACGATGCATTGTAGTACGTAGTTAATATTATCGATAGATTGAGACACAGTTAATTAGACTCATGTTTACAAAGAATTAATTTGGGTACATACAAAATAAATTCGTTATCCAGGTGCAATAAAGTGTGTACGGGGGATTTACCCTGGATTGTATTCCATACACCCTTCAGTTTTCGGCCCCAGGGTGTATAGAATAAAACCTTGGGTAAATCTCTGTACACCCTTGATTGCAACTGGATTAACTAAAAGTATTACTACCACATTTAAAAGTATACATAACTGCTACTTTTGTTAGCCAGTGGCTTATGCATATACAGATCATAGAAATTGACATACCCATTTTGTGATAAAATTTTGAATTCATAAATTCTTTTTCCTATGCATCTCCACTTTCATCTTTGCTAGCCAAGCGTTTTCGGTCTGATAATCAGAGTTGAGTGGACCGAAAACCCTTGGCTGGCAAACATGCCACAATTTAGAATTTCTTAAACATGTTAAAGTCTTAGGTATATGCAATTTATATCTATGAATGACTAATCCAGCATTACTGCAATTACTTAAAAACTTCTCAATAGTATATATATATATATGACATTCAACTGAGGGTAAATACATGTAATCGTACAGATTCGACAGATTAAACATAGTACTTTACCATGTTTATGGAATTTTATAACATATAACCAATACATATTTACATCCTAATCAGTTTAAATTGATCCTTTATTTCTTGAGCAAATCCTCCTCATTTGACTTTATAATTTTCATGTGAAAAAAAAATTAAATAAGGCATTGCCAAACTAAATTCCACCAATTCTCACGATTCTCTACCTCAAATGTTATAACCCACAAATTATCATTTGAATTCAGTATTATCATGATCATTAGTTAAAAATAACAATAAATAAAAAAAAAAAATATTGATACATAGTCATTATGATAATGACAAATGAATTAAACATTCTCCATCATCTCTGTATTGGAGATTTTTTTTTTCCATTATATATATCAGAAAGTTTGTGTTTGTATCTAATCTTTTTTGGACGAAATTAATCTTTTGCAATGATTAAATCATTCTATAATTTTTTCCCTTTAATGTATTTGAACTAGAATATTGATATTCACATGAAGATGCACTGAAACTTCTCGATTTCACACGGTGTTGATGTGCATACATTACCGAGGAAATTCGAAACATTTTTATTTTCTTAAGTTCTAAAAAAACCTCTTGTTGACTATGGATTACTCAGAATTTTGGCAGTATTACATTTTTCAAGAAAATCTTCCTTTTTCAAACATATTATTGAGAGCGTTAGGCAATGCTCAAAAAATATATTTACGAAAACAATAACAAAGAAAATGTCAACAAGATGCAAATGAGTCAGGTTTTCCAAGACTGCTAACAAATTATGACTTGAATTGTCGTTTATGTTTGATTTTTGTGTTTATTTGTGTTTCTTATAATTTATCTACCTGCCAGACGATCGTCTCTCGTCCATGGAGGCTCAGATCGCCCTCAGCACCACGATCAGTTAACCTATAAGACGAAGTGCTCAACTTCTCTGTCTCGACAATATGGCGGAAGTATTACATGTGATTTACGTCAGCCAATCAAATTACAGCAATGATGGACTAACCCCCGGGGATGTCATTTGGAAGGGCAAAAAGCTAGGTGTGGTATAATGGCGAATGTTAGATTAATTTTACTTTAATTTATAAATAAATTATAAAAATTATCTACAGTCGCAGTATGCATCAAAGGACTGACATGCTTGTTCATTAGATTCCTTTAAAATATCTGTGTAACACTGTGTGTTTAATTATTCAGTACGTTTCTTTGAAAGATGCCAGTACATACATTTACATGTACGGGGCATGATATATTATTTTTCATTTATTTATTTACAGAGTTTACCTATCTATTAAATAATCTGTTATGTATTGATTGTATTTTCTTCTTTTAATTTATTTATTATTTTAGATATGCTATCCCTCAATTACTTGTTTCATTATTTGTAATTTAAACATTTTTCTTTTTTTTTAATTTTTAATCTGAATTGCACAAAATTATATATAAATTTATATAAAAAAATATTTATGATAAATTATGAACTGCAAATGAGAGTGGGATTGAGAAGGAGGTGTCTTAAGAGTGTAAGTTGAACTTGATTACTCTCTTTATCACGTATTGCTTGACAGTATGCGCATTATGACGTCACAATTAAAATTAATAAGCAGCAAGGTGCTTTTTGAAATTGTGACGTCATAATGCGTATGACATACATGTATGTATATAAAGTATGAAACAGCAATAATGGATTATAAGAATATGAGCATGAATGTAGTAATGAGTGCCACTGTTAGTAATAACATGTACAGTTCAAAACATCAAAGTAAAGAAGACCCCTGCGAGTACAGTCGTGTATATAATATGAATCTTTGTGTATTACAGCATATATTACACATTAGTTTTTTTTTATTATTAATTTATTACTGACAATATTTTTTTCCCAATATTATTTAACATCGTTTTCGAATGTCAGTGAGAAGAAACCAGAAAAAATCAACTTATATGAAAAAAAAATTGATAAGCATACATGTAAAAAAAAAAAAAAGGAAATTGTCCATACTTAGAAATCATTTTCTTGGGAAGGGAAGAGGGTTGCAACTTCTTTCAGTACCAAATTTATTCATATAAATGTACTACTACATTACCATCACATTATTTGATATACTACAAGAAAAAGAGAGAGAGGGGGGTCAAAGTTGCCCATTCCAGTACTAAACAGTTTTAATATGTTTGTAAATGATAATTTTATTACGTGTAAATGATAATTAAAAAAATGAAGCAAATATAGAGCTTTAAGAATTCAAATATCGACCTCGGTAGATAGACGTCCTCTAAGGTCTATTTTTGTAGCCTCATCTGCTACGTTTGTTTAAAATAAATATATAAGTAAATGAACGATATTTTATCGTATGATACTCGTAGATTCAGTCACTTCTTTATGAATCGAACGTACATTAAGTAAGACAATTTTTTGTTCCAGGTCCTTTTCTTAATGTAAAATAATAAATGAAAAAGAAAATAAATAACTTTCTAGATTTGAAATTAAAGGGGAAAAACATGCATGCAATTTGATTCTGGGGGATGAAGTCTGTATTACTATAATCACAATATACCATGTTTTTGTCGGTCATTAATGACGCGCATCAATAAAACGGCATCTGTAACAACTTATTCGTGCATCCTTCTAGCTCTTTTTAATGTAATAAGTTTAGAAAAAAGAATTTCTTATCATGATTTAGGCATCATGCAGCCTGTTTTGTATTCTTATTTACCCATTGTTTTCCTCTGCTCCTGCTTTTTCAAAACTTCTACAGAATGTAATTAAAAATAAAAAAAATTTAAAAAGTATAATTTTCAGTCATGAATATCCACATGGAGGGTTGTAAAAATCAAAACAAACAAATTAGTGTCGGTAGAAACAGTTTACTTTGTGCGTAACGTGTTCCCTGACACACGTAAAAGCAATAAGGCAAATTACGGACCGTATACTGGGAATGCCAACTTCTGTTTATAATTTTTTTTTTACCTAAACTTGTGTATTACTTGCGCCTCTTTCAAAAATTGAAAAAAAAAGTATATTTTTCTTATCCTTGTCTGTCAGTCCGTCCACTATACCGTCCTAAATTCAACCTACACTCAAATTTCGTATACTCTGACCTACAATAAAAGCAGTATTATACTCATTTTCCGGAATATGATGAGTGTTTTGAACATAATCAAAAAGATTTTGAAATTTTCATCGTAGAAGCCGAAATAAGGGGTTAAAAACAGTTTTCCTCTTAAAAAAAAATGGTTTTCTGAATTATTTTCATATTTTTTTTATTAATCAAAATCATCTTTCTTTTGGAAAATAATTGGTTATGTCGATAGTTGTGCAATAAGTAAATTAATCGATTTTCACACAAGAGCAATGGGGGAAGGGGGGTGTGGGGTGTGTGTTGTTATTCTGAATTTCTCTTACATTGTTTACAGTAGCCTATTCATATTTTGGAATATGATTGTAATCGGTTGTATCTTTTATTGGTGCAGTAAGCCTTCACCAAGAGGATAGTAAAAGGGAAAGTAATTAAAGTTCTAAAGCAAAACTTCATCATGGCTAAAGACTTCCTCTCTTTTGTTACCATTCAGGGGAAATATGGCGATGGAGGGAAAGTATGGCTCAAGAGTAAGATATTCCCTATGGGGGAAAAGCTCTGCACTCTAGAGCAAGATTTCCGGGAGAAGTCTCTACATGGCAGAGGAAGTTTCTCTTTACAACACCGGTATATTTATCATAATGTGCTGAAGCTCATGTCCTCGTGAATTTTCACAAATTATTTATTTGATATACAAATTTTCAAAAATTTGAATTTTCCCCTTAAGATCCATGGCAAATTTAAGAAAACATGTCAGTTTCTCATGAAGTATCATGTAGAGCAAGAATATCTTTATTGTTCATCCTTAATATTGCACTTATAGCTTGATGTCAAAATTATAGTGCAAACTGTTCTGTTGGTACATGTAAAATTATCATTGAATGACAAATTTGTACGTCACCAGATAAATAATATTAGTATAAGATATTAAAATGGGAATTTAATTTGATCACGAGGAACCTGAACTATAAGTACATGTATATTTATCATAAAGTGCTTAGTTCACATCGGCGTCAAACGTCATAGTTCAGATTCTCACGAATTTTCAAATATATTTAATTTACCCCTTAAAATTAAGCACAGGAAATTTGTTATATTCATTTGAAAAGTGTGTTTTTCACGTCACAAAACTGTCTTACTATTCTTTTTTTCTCAAAAAACATGCAGGCATTCTAAATTTTGTCCAAAATTGCATGAACTTTCAGTTAACTGCTATCCAAATAAACAGCAAATTGAAGGCATATTAAGTATTTATATCAATCCTTTAATGACATATATTAAGTTTTAGTGACTACCTGCACATACATTCCTCTAGAAAAACTCGCAGCTTTTGAAGTGCCCGTTAATTAGTCCATGTAGGTATTACGCACTTCGCTATGATCTACGGACCATTATATTTTTTTCACTCCAAAGGTCAAAATCATGACTTGGTCGATCTGACCGGCAACAAACGTTCCATGAAAGGCGTCCGAGCGACTGAGATACACCATCCCTTTTCTCGCCTGGAATGGGAAATGAGAAGATGCCGAATTGGTTCTTAAGTCTGCATGATGTTCATTCCTGTTTTTTTTTTTTTCTTTGAAAGAAAAATAAGATATCTGTCTGTTTAAGGTCAAGGTATATGAATAATATGAGTAGGCATATACCGTTAAATGTTCATTTGAGTAGGTTTACGAACTTATAAAAATCAAGCCTTTTTGAAATTAATCCAGAAAAGACCTAAACCGCAAAACGATAAGTTAAAAGAAAAGAAGATGAAAAGGTAGGCATAAATTATTAAATTCATAGATTATTAGGGCAAAAACCTGAGTGAAATAGCAGAGCGGATAAACAAAGGATATTCCGTTTTTTGCAGTTGGACAAGAGATTTATTTTACGGGTGGGACAAAGTTATTTTGTTGAAATTTTCAAGAATGAGAAGCACGAGTTAAAAATATCAACAATAAAATGTCGTCTCACAAGTGAAATAAATTCTATATCCAACCACAAAATATTGAATTTTCTGTTTATTACATTTACTTTGATTTTCCCTTTCTTTTTGTAACCTCGTGTTAAAGCTAGATTGTGTTATTATTCACTGTAGTTTAGTGGTTGCGATGTATAATAAGGATTGGAGCTGAAAACATCGAAAACATGGCTTTCCTAAACATATCTGGAAAAACTCTGTCGGTTTTAACTACCAGGAATGGCTAATTTTCTATCTCCAACTTATTAGGGGGTGGGGGACTTTGGGGGAATTAGCCCGCCCCCAAATTTTTTCCCAAAGATACGTAGAGACGATATGTTAAAGTAAGTTTCACTTCAATGCATATGTTGTCTCTTCGTATGTTTACAACGTTCGTACAATAAAAATATTTTTAAATGTATATACTCGTCAAAGATAAATTTCAAGTTTAATTATTATCATCTTTCATTTTTACTCAGAATTTTCCATATAGAAATGATTTTCTGAATAAATTTTCAATTTCGTAAACACTATTGTTGAATAAGATTTTCTTAAAATTGAAACCAACAGAAAATTTTGATAAATAAATACGCAATATTTGGGATAAATTATCACATATCGAAACTTATTACAGCAGTTTTTTTCTGTAAATGATAAGAATTTAATGATCGTGTAGTAGGCGTTAGAGCATAAAATAAATTATTACATAAATGTTGACCCGATCACTGAATAAAAAATCTATTATCAATTGTTTTTTAATTATGGAAATCGTCAACCCCTTCTTGTCACACCACACGAATGTCGAACCCGATTAGAAATGTGGACTGTCCAGTTCTCATAAAAAGCGTATAACGTGCAACAGGGGTCCCGTCACCTGACATCAGACGGTCATAAAGGGAAAGGTTGATTGTCTGTACAAATGACCAGTACTTAGGTTTAATGATTTATTTATTGTTTTTTATTA